GCGTCCTTCGATGTTCTTGGTCTAAAATTCCCAGAAGCCTTCCCTACTAGCTGGGAGTTGTACTCCAAGAACATCTGGAGAATCAAGGTTGGGAATCATTGCTATAGAGGGTGTGATCAGATGGGCATTTGTCCCACTGTTTGGTCTACTGCCTGCCAGGGTGTTCCTACCCACATGTTTTTGGGTCCCTGACAGGGGCTATTGTTTTTTAGGTGTTGGCTAGGTTTGCTGTCTTTTGGCTCATTTCCAGTACACGTGTTTGCTGGGATCGAACCAAAGCAACGCTTGTGGCTTTAAATTTCCCTTCTGCTTTCCATTCCCCGATATTGTGAAGTGGCTTAAGAAAACAGCCTGGCCACTTCTCAATACTGTATTGGGAAATTAAACATTTCCTCTACTCCTCCCTGGAGGAGTCAAAGAAGGAAGCAATAGCTTTGTTTTTAAAGGCCTGTTATTATAGTGCTGATGCGCTATACCACTTAGATAAACAATAAGAAATGATAACTTCCTGGAAATAGGAGGTGAGAGGAAGGAGAGGGACTTTGTTCTTGTTGTTTTCATAAGAAGAGTGGACCAAATAGGGTTGCTTGAAGTGCAAAAGCTTTTGGGATGCAAGGATAATGTCAAACAGCATATTAGACCTCTACCTGACCTTAAGCAACACTTGGGTCTCCTTATTGGGAGAAAGGCAACACAAAAATAATACAAACAAATAAAATATTTAGCCTGCTCCAATTGTGCCCATGTGGACAAGCCCACAGGAAGCCTCTCACACTTTCTGGCGAGCAGAAAAACAAATGGAAAACAGGGAACATATATTGCTGCAAATTGTGTGGATCCCGACCTTTTTTTTAAATAAGATTTTTTTTTTTAAAGGAACACTATCCTGATTACATGGTATATAGTTGGCAGGCATGAATGAGGAACAGAGTTTCTGTTACTTATTTTGTGAAATGATAGCAATGCTTAAAAAAAAAGACCACTAATGTCCCCTTGTTCACCAAAGAACTACCACCTCTCATGTAATGACATCGCTTTGCTTCTTCCTTTAATGTAACGGCCACCCCTTAAGGGCCAGGCACTATGACAGCTGGGTGGTCAGCAACATAATAAATCAAAACAGAGCATAAACAAAAACTTCAATACGACCGTAAAGTACCGTATTTTTCGCTCCATAAGACGCACCATTCCATAAGACGCACCAATTTTTTAGGAGAAGAAAACAGGAAAATAGAATCTGTTTTCTTCGCTCCATAAGACGCACAGACTTTCCACCCCCCGTTTTGTGAGAAAAAAGTGCGTCTTATGGTGCGAAAAATACGGTAAAACAAATCAATGTTTTAATGTGTTAAGGCCAAACTCTGCGTTACCGTGATGATAAATTGCAGTGGAAACAAGCTGTGGAGTCCAGTTTGAGCACATGGGAGGGAAAAGGAGGGTGTACATGCACCAATGAACAAACAAATGAACAAAAGAATGAAAGAACGAACGGACGAATGGACAAACGTACGAACAAACTAACGAACGCACGAACTAACTAACTAAACTAACTAACTAATTATGTACCTGCTCATTCTAATACCAGCAGAATAGTGATGCATTTGATCTAGCTGAACACACTGCAACAGTTTACACGCCAACCCCACCCCATTCTAAAAAGCAGGCACACAATACTATAACAGCCAACTCTATATACCGTGTTCTGGGGATAAACCTCCATGAACTCAGAGAGGCTTGCTTACTTCTAACTTCAGAGGTTTCAGCTTGTGAAACATGCCGAGCTAGAACAAAAGGCCTCCCAAAATGGAACCATTAGCCTTTAATTGGAAATGAAAACGATCTTACACAGAAGAGCTCCTATTTACACTGCCAGTGTGAAGAAGGAACCCCATTGGGGGGGAAAAAGAGGGGGAGGATGTCTAGTGTTAGCTTGATTATTTTTGTCATGTGCTGACTGCGTCTAGCCGAATTACCTCTCTTATGTACCAAGGCAAGGAGGGTCTATCTGTTTCTCTGGCTTGCTCTGGAAGATTATGTAATTGCTTTCAAACTCCCCACTGCCTGGTTCTAAGTTGCCACCTAGTCTTAATAGCTGGGTTTTACCCAGACTCCAGTTGACCCTGACTCTTTTCACACCATGTACGGGTGTGACAGCTGGACAGTAAAGAAAGCTGAGAGGATAAAAAATGATGCGTTTGGACCATAGCTGGAGAAAGAGCTTTGCAAATGGCCAGAAGGACAAACAAGGGGGTCCAAAATCAAATCAAGGCTGAAGTATCTCTGGAGGCAAAAATGCTGCAATTGAAGCTGTCCTAAAATGGACATACCATGAGAAAACAGGATTCCCTACGGAAAGCGGAAGGCAGCAGGAAAAGAGGAAGACCAAATATGAGATGGATTGACAACCTAAAAGAAGCCACGAGGTTGAGTTTGCATGAACTGAGCAAAGCTGTTGAGGACAGGGCCTTTTGGAGGTGGCTCATACATGGGGTCACCATAGGCTGGAGGGTGATGACCCATAACAACAACTTTTCATGCCTGTGCCCACCGTCAGCTGCCCCAGAAGCAGATTTACCTCTGCTCCCAACTCTTGGTTGCCTTGCCTCTGTGACATCACAAGGGTCACTGTATGATGGCACAAGGACCTGCCCCTGGAAGACATTTTAACTAGACATGGGCATGGGTGGTTCATAATGGTCCATTCTTCAAACACACAGGTGCTCCACGGATACCCCAGATTCTGGCCCCTGGCTCTTCTGGCGGGTACCTACTCAGGTAAGGAGTTGGGGCAGAGAAGCCTGCGATGCTGCCTTTTAGTGGGTGCCCCACCAGAAGAGGGAAGTCAGGATACCCATAGAAGACCCTTGCATCTGAAGAACGAACCATTATGAACATCCAAACCGGCAGTTTTGTTCTCTAGATTTTTTTAACTCTAAAAACTTAGGCTATAAGGTGGTCCTAACCACTGAATGTCAGGGTCAAGACTTAAATTCCATTAATGTGATTGGCCTGTTTGAGTTGGGACTGGCAAATGGATTAATGTCGCAATGCTTTCCACCTGCAACAGAACCCACACAATAACTTCCTTGGAAACAGATTTCGTTTCGTTCCAGATTTCATGACAAGCAATTCGGCTGCTTGACTGAGACTGCCATAAGCTGGTGGTAGGGAACGGTTTATTCGCTCTTTGCACACCGGACATTGTTTCATAAATGCGTACGGTGACTTCATCTAGGATCCCCTTTTCCATTTATAAATGAGAAAATGGAATGGACAGGATTAACTGATTTTGAATAACTGAGGGAAAAAAACAAGTTGAGTTACCAGTGAGACTTAAGTGTGACTTGACAGCCAAGTCTTGCAATTTAGAGTCCCCCTCCCTGGCTCAGGGTGGAGATATTTATAGTTAGGATGTAAATCTTCACTTATTCCATTCTTGCAGTTAAATATTAAAACAATAGATATGTTTTCTCCTTCTTGAAGATTTTGTGCAGGTTTTGCATTTCAGAACTTGTGGGGATAATTTCCAGGTTTTGTTTCTGTGCAAAATTGTGAAGTTTAAATGCAAAAATATAGGCTTTTTTTGTGAAAAATATATATTTTGGATGCAGAAATCTTTTCTCTTTTTTTGCTACTATTCTGCAGATAGAATAAAAGAGATCTCCCTCCCCCTCATGTTGCAATGGATGATATATTTTTAAACGGGATGCGCTTGTGTGTCAAGACAACTTTTTTCATTCTGAATTTGTACATAGGCTGCTTTGTACAATCTCAGAAACCCGAAAAGCCAGAAGCGAAGGCCGAGGACAGCATGTCCTTGACCCATCACATGATCATGCTGGTTGGAACAGACCACTATCATCCTGACCAGTGAGCATTTTCCGGTTCAAACATACTTACACACATTATTCAACAATGTTTACATGCCGCAACACAGACCTTCACCCTTCTAATATCCCGGATGCCTACCCCGGTCTCAGGTTTCAGCCTTGGTATATCCAGGAATGGGAAGTTACTGATCTAGCAGAAAATCTAGCAAAGAAGCTGATTGATCCACTGCTTAACTGCCACGGATGATGCTAGTTTAAAAGTAGCCAGAGTGGAATGGGAGGAAACGCATGGTTAATCTATGCTCCATCATCCTGGAAGCTATGCTCGGAAGAAACAGGAACCTGAAGCGGGTGGCAGATCAGGTCATTGTCCCTACTAGCAAATGACCGGAGCCCTTTGACCCATGCAAGAGTGCTGGCTACACTACAACCCCGATGAGCACGAAGGAAGTTGGCAAGCATGAGGTAGAGACAAGAGATATTTTGAGCCTTCCCAGGGAATTCTGGCAGTTTCATTGACCTGGCAAGCCTTAGCGGACAGCAAAGGGGTCAGTGCAGCTGGACAACTTCCTGCTCGGATGAAACTGGCCAGTTCTTTGGCTATAGAAGTCTACTCAGGTTTCTAGCATGAATGTCAACCGTAGGGGATTCGGAGTCCTCCATCTCGTCACAAAGTTGTGTTTCCTGATGAGAGAGGTTGACTTTCTCAGTGTTGCACACATGCACAGGGTTTGCAAAGAGGAGTGGAGCAACACTGGTAACCTTACTGCGCCGGTGTTACTTTCCACTTTAAAAATTATAATGCATCAACACCAAAACCTGGGAGCCCTTCTGTTAATAATATTTACTGGCTCCCCAAAAAAACAGTAGCTCAGCTATCGTGGTAGCCTTGCATACAAACCAAAACAACCTCTCTCTTTTCCAGTTTTTGAGAATCCCCACTTTCATTTCCTGCGAATTACCCAACTTGCCATGTGCAACCGGACTAGTGGGTTTACGGATGCCTCCTGCAAAGGTACGCAGCTGCACAGCCTTTATAAATCAGCATCCACCAGAGAAATATACTGCAGTAAACCAGATCTGAAAAAAACAGCCCACCCCTCCTTCTGTTGTTTCAGGGGCTGGAATTACAGCACGCAAAAGACAGGGAAAGAAGACCAAAACACTTACAGATGTGTACAAGTATCCTTCGCTGTTCATCGCTAAGTACAGTTTCGTTTGAACGCCTTGAATCGCCACCACTCGTAATCCCACGGGTATGAGGTTAAACAAAGCTAAAGGGAGAATGAAGGGGGAAAATCAGCCACCCTGCACTTTGGTAACAAAACAGAATCTTCCCACAGGAGCCATTTTGTACATTCTTAAAGGTTTGTTTTGGAGAGTTTAAGAACACACACACAGACACACAGACAGACAGACAGACAGACAGACAGACAGACACACACACACACACACACACACACTTATGTGGTAAAGAACACACAAAAATCACACTACCCCTCTGTAATGGCATAAATATGAACAACACTGAAACAATATGAAAATTGTAGACCTGGCGAGTTTGGAGAGATCCCACAGGCCATTTGTGTTGGAGTTTTAGCAACCTGGCATGCTGCTTTTAGTAAGTTTGCCTGGGAGGGACCTCACTGGGCCGGGGTGACTGTCAATCTATCCTGCAGTAACGAATCGTTTCTCCCCTGCTTCCAGTTTGAAAGGGAGCCTTGCCTCTCTGCTTCAGTGTCTTTCCCCCCCCCTCTCTCTTTTTTTTTTAGTCTGCTGGAGGTTTGAATGCGCCGTTAATGTTAGCAGTTAGAGCAGTTATGAGAATATGGCCTGCAGGAGTCTGCAGCAAGCAGGTTCAGAATCTTTTGGGATCTATAGATATAAGCAGTCCTTTTTGTACGATAGGCTGTTTTGATGTGTTTCGAACTCTTGAGTAAATGGAACTTTTTATTTTTTTTCTATTCCCAGCATCTCAGAGTGCATGAGCAAGACTGCAAGTGCCAGTTGATGAGACAAGAAAAGGGGTGGCCTACTCTGGGGAGCGTTGAAGGTGATTCTGCTCTGCAAGTCTCTGCACATCTGCTGTGTAGCTAGATTTTTTATTTTAGGCACAAAACTCTCCAACAATCTATACTAACCTCTTTGCAACGTAGGAATCCACATAAAGCAGGCTAAGGGAATCCAGGCTGCCCTTTGCAAAGATGGCTGCTGCAGCTTCCCTACCCTAAATGAAGCTACACCCACCATCTTTGTAAAGGGCAGCCATTCTCCCTTTTTCCACACCGTGGCTGCGAAAGCCTGATGGAGACCTTGGCAGCAGCTATTAAGGTAAGGGGGTGTCGATGGGAGTGGGGTGGGGGCTAAGGTAGGGAAAGGAAGGGGTGGGGAGTAGGCTGTGATACTGGGTGGCTGTGTGGGGTGGTGGCTGCCTTTCTGCCACCGATCAGCTGATCGGTGGACTATAAGCAGAATGGTGTTTTTGTTTGGTTGTTTTTTTAATAGGAAGGATGAATAAAAATGAGTAAATATTTATCCCTTCATATTATTGGGGGTCTCTGGAACCCACAAATACAGATCGACGAATATTTAACAAATCAGCTACATTCGTCGGAAAAAGTGATCTGTTTTCATTAGTCCCCATCTTTACTCACGACCCTGCAATCTTTTTCTTGTTACAATTCGTTACATATCTGCCGTACTTTATGTTTAGTTCTGTGGGTCGGTTATATTGGGAGGGTTTTGTTTTATATTAGATATCCTTTGGTGCCCACCCTTTTTCTTACATAAGGACCAATTGACCTAGTGATGGAGAGGTAGGGGTGGGTGGGGAACAATGGGAACTTTCTGGGACTACAACATCCAAAATCCTCAAGCCAGTGGCCGGTTTCTTTATTCTCAGCATTTCAAACACCAGTAGTAACCTCTCATCTCTCCCTAAGGATGAATTTTTGCCTTTCTGGATGTTTTATCTAGGCTCAAATGAAACCAACCAAACTTTCAAACAGAGGCTAAGGCTGGAAAGAGGAAGGTGGTGAGATAAATCTGGGGTCTCTCCGAGGACCGCAATGGGGGGAGCAGACATTTTGGGTTATGGACCGCTTTCCTGTTTTCCTCCTCTGGAGAGCATTCGTTCCTGGTGGCTTTTGGAACGAAGATGGCAAAGCTTTATGCCAGGAAGAATGGAGGGGGTGAAGAACTTTTTCCTGGAGGGAGGTGGAAAACCCATCAAGGGCAGCCCAGCGACAATGTTATCCACGGAGGTAGCATAGGGGCAGGTTCTGCTAGTTTATTCAACGGAGTGTTTCTTTGAACCTCAGGTTTCACCACCAACATTCACACAAGGAGTTTATGGCCTCACCACCTTCCGGCCACACTCCAACACCCTATGATTTCAAAAGGCGGTCCATGAGGATTGGCCAAGCCAACTAGACCGAGGGACGTCTAGAGCGGTACTTACTATAGGTGCTTTCTTCCTCTTTCGTCCCTTCGATCGTTCCATCTGCCTGGAGCTGTAAGTGGTACCCTTGTCGGCTGTACAGTTTTGTTACAATGCCCTTTAGCTGTGGCTCTGCAAGAAAGCAAAGTAAAAGGGGAAAGGTTATGCTCCTGAAACCCACTAAGCCCGTGTTCCTGGTTCAAACAACACAAGAAGACCTTGCTTTGTTTTCCTTTGCCTGTGGGAAGACACTGAAAATCAGAAGCTTTGGAAGGCTGGAGCTCAAATCAGCAACTGGGACACCCCCAGAACACCCCTCTTGGGCCAGTCAATCAACATTCCAGCAGTGCATTACGTGACTGAAAGGACGTAGATCTCATCTCCATTAAGATTAGACTTGTGCCGGCAAGGCGGGAAATCCTGTTTCTTAATGAGCTGAGATTCATCAAGAGAGAAGGGGAAAGGAACACCAACAACAAAAGGCTGATTAAAATTACAAGAATAAAAAGTGAGTCTAGGTACCCCTCAAGGAGGTAGTTGATAGCCGTAGTGAGTACCCTTGCAGATCCAACAAGCCATTCAACGTCAAAAGAAAGCAGAAGGAGAATTTGCCAAGAAGGGAGAAAAACTAGGCTTCATATTTCAGTAAAATTAGAAACCCGTATTATAGTTCCAGCTGGTCCCAAAGGCTGTGTGGGTGTCTGAGAGTTAGGGAGTGTGAATGTGATTATCTGCACGCACACACATGCATGCATGCGGGAATGTCTGAAATGTGATGAATGTTTATCCCCGACAAATGCTGGAGAACGTCAAAGAACTCAACAGCTGCAGGAGTGAATGTAACATAACAAAGCATGAAGGCACTCCCTGTGTTTTTATTTGACTGCCGGCATGATTTGCCACCTCAAATCAGGGCTTGGGGAAGTTCAGAGGCTGGACTACAACTCCTGGAACCTCCGGCAGGATTATGGGAACTGTAGTCTTTAAAGGCAAGGTTTCCAAGTTCTGCACTGAATGCCATTGGCCAACAATGAGGAGAGATAAAATGTAATAAGTGAATCATGAAATACCCTCCCCCAATATAACAGATGACACTGTTTGCTTGGGTGCATGCAGAAAGGTCTGTTCTCAGACAGCCACGTCACTTTTCCCATACACATCCCAATGCACAATGTACCTGCAATCGTTCAAGATTTGGTACCCTCTCTGGGCCTCCTCATAATGGAGAACTCAGGTTCCGACCATATCTCCAGCCTTCTCAGGGGCTTCTTGCAAAGGTGGAGTTTAGCCCTGAGATACATGGCTTCATCAGAAGCAATACATGGCCTTGCTGATCTCTGGTGCAATATGGTCCAGCTAATCTTGAGATAGCCACGTCCTTCAAAACACAAGCACCCGTGCTATCTCAAGAGTTAGAGAAGAAGGCACTGCGGCTCCAGTGTGCAAGAAAACAGCAAGTTGACATGAGCTCCCTGAGAAGCAAGGAGATGCGGTCTCATAAATGGCATGCAACTATATTTGCTGCCATAAAACGTCCCCACTTCCCCATCCAACATTGCACCTGGTTTTCCATGACAAGCCACCTAACATGCTTCGGGAAACCTGTGCTAGTTTGTGATCACTGCAGCAAGCTGTTCCATGAAGGGGCAGAAGGACTGACTTAGATTGCCAGCTACCACCATGGGAAGCCAGGATATTATAGATCTCTGATGGCAGATCCATGTCAATGCCTACAGTGTTCTGTAAACAACTTTGCCTTGCTCGGAACATGTCTTGGCCAAATGGCGAGGTTATGGCTTAATGAGGGCTTCACATACCTGCAGCTCAGTGGCTGAGGGCTCTGACTGTGGAGCCAGAGGTTGGGAGTTCGATTCCCCCACGGGGCCTCCTTAACAGGGTCTGGACTCTGATTCCCCCACTGGGCCTCCTTAACAGGGTCTGGACTTGATGGTCCAGAGGGGTCCCTTCCAGTTCTGCAGTTCCAAAATTATTATTCTATTATTATATATACACCGGGTCAGGTACAATGACATTATCCACACTGGTGAATTGCTGCTTATAATTCCTCACCATGACCAAGGATGCGACAGGGAATACAAGTGGCCGCTCAGGAACCAGCAGCAATAGACCATTGAGCTATTCAGAAATGCCAGTGTGATTATGGCTAATCTCACACACACACACACACACACACACGCACGCACGCACGCACGCACGCACGCACGGGTAGGTGATTGCTCAGAGTCTGGCGGCCAACTTCTCCACTAAGAGTGGCCCAATCTTCTCCAACCACAGGACTTCCAGAGGAGTTAGACTATAACCACCTTCGTTCCAAGCCAGTTTGCTCAAGCTGGCTTCAACAGTACACAGTAGAGAGACTTAGTCCAACTTGGGCTAATACAGGTTCCCACGAAAAAGATATACAGACAGCAACAAGAAACAAAGAAGATGCATGGATAACAACCAGAATCAAAACCTTTGCCCCTTAATCTCATTCTCAAGTGTATCTGAAGCACTGCCTCTCCCTTTATGAGCCTGCCTGGCTGCTATCAGGACAAACCTTTCTCTCGGTCCCACCACCCTCCGAGGTGCATTCGGTGGGGACCCGGGAGGGGGGGGCCTTCTCTGTAGCTGCTCCAAGACCTTGGAACTCCCTCCCACTGGAGGCCAGGCTGGCTTCCTCTTGGCTGTCCTTCTGCAAGTAGGTGAAGAGCTTTCTGCAAGCTTTCCCTCAGTGACTGAGTGTTTTTTTTTAAATGGATTTTTATGTCTTACTACTTTGAAGGTGTTTTTGTTTACTGTGCTTTAGTGTGGTATTTGTTTGACCCTTTTCAGTATTTGTATTCTTATTGTTCTTAGCTTTAAATGTTGGCTTTTAATTGATATAAGCCTCCTGGGGTCATTTTTTAATGAGGAAGGTGGGGTAAAAATATTTCTAGACAGACTGACTGACAGACGGATGGACGGATGGACGGACGGACGGACGGACGGACGGACGGACAGACAGATAGATAGATAGATAGATAGACAGATAGATAGATAGATAGATAGATAGATAGATAGATAGATAGATAGATAGATAGATAGATAGATAGATAGATACTATATTCAGAGTGGAGTATGTTGAAGGTTGATGAGTAAAAAACCATTTTACGTATATTTATAAAATCCAAAGGAGGGATGATAAATGGTGAGTCTCTGTGCCCAGATCTGGCTGATTAGCTTAGATAGATAGATAGATAGATAGATAGATAGATAGATAGATAGATAGATAGATAGATACTTACTATATTCAGAGTGGGGTATGTTGAACGTTGATGAGTAAAAAACCATTTTACATATATTTATAAAATCCAAAGGAGGGATGACAAATGGTGAGTCTCTATGCCCGGATCTGGAGAGACTGATTAGCTACTGGCACATGTGGAAACATCCATCACAAATGAGCACAACCATCATCATGCCAAACATATCAACAGACTATGGAGAAGCATGCGGGAAGTGGAAGGAAATATCTCATTTCCTCCTCTTTTTAACGGTGTCTTGGTATGCTGAGAAAAACTAACAGATCATTGGCATGCCAGCCGCATGGTTTAAGCAAGGGAATTTTTTTAAAATAAAAAAGTCAGTATAATAAAAGGAAATCCACCATATTAACAAACAAACGTGAGCTCAGGAAGACATGCGAGCACAGAGGAATTACAAAAAAATTGTTCTAAGAGGATTTCTAGAGGAAAGGAAACTAATATTGACTTGGTAGGTATGTGTGTAAATATTTTTTTAAAAGCACAAATAGACAGCATTTTTTCAAGTCTAAGGAGAAGACAGGAGAGGGAGGTTGAAGAGACAGAGCATTGAAGAGCAGAGAAAAGATCATGGAACAAGGGGTTCAAATCATTCCGAAGTGAAAGGAAGCCAAATGTGGATGAATGGTGAGGCTCAGACGACAGAGATCAAATCCAAATTTTTGCTCGGTAATAATGTCCTCAGCATGATCAAGGCTAGTCTCTCTCTCTCTCTCTCTCTCTCTCTCTCTCTCTCAGTATGGACTGCTCCACAGAGGTAAAGGTAGAATGGGATTCTACTTACTCTGAACTTCTGGGGAGAAGGGGAAGGGGTTTTGTTGATGCTACTCATGGTCTTTGGCTTAAAAATAATAATGCAAAGGGATTTTCACTGCTATGGAACTGATGCGTATCCCTGCCAAACAGATGACTCCCCCCCCCACAACCCCCCAATCCATTTTCTGACACAAAAATTCAAGTGGTGAGGCTCAGACGACAGAGATCAAATCCAAATTTCTGCTCAGCATGATCAGGGCTAGTCTCTCTCTCAGTGTGGACTCCTCCACAGAGGTAAAGGTAGAATGGGATTACTCTGAACATCTGGGGAGAAGGGGAAGGGGTTTTGTTGATGCTACTCATGGTCTTTGGCTTAAAAATAATAATGCAAAGGGATTTTCACTGCCTGCCCTCAGACGACAGAGATCAAATCCAAATTTCTGCTCAGCATGATCAGGGCTAGTCTCTCTCTCAGTGTGGACTCCTCCACAGAGGTAAAGGTAGAATGGGATTACTCTGAACATCTGGGGAGAAGGGGAAGGGGTTTTGTTGATGCTACTCATGGTCTTTGGCTTAAAAATAATAATGCAAAGGGATTTTCACTGCCTGCCAAACAGATGACTCCCCCCACAATCCCCCAATCCATTTTCTGATGCAGAAATTCGTACGGAGGCAAAGGGAACGCTTGTGATTAAGGTACCATTGGGATCATGCTGCGAAGAGAAAAGACACTAAAGGGCTTCTCTTCACAAATCACTAAATGGAGGATTTGGAAATATGCTGGAGGAAGTAGCCCTGGAACCTTCCTCAGGCTGGGATTGTCCAGAGAGTTGGAGAACAACTCTGTCATCCCAACCATTGTGTCCTGCCAGCTGTGAGATGCATCCAGAATGGGTGTGGGGTTGAAGAAGGGTGGTTTCACCTTTTATGGGGTTCCCGAAAAGGGAGACTTTCCGTTTAGAAAAGGAAGAGCCCACGGATTGTCCTACGGGATAGAATCTTAGAACAGCAGGGCTAAGAGGGACCCTATAGATCATCAAGTCCAACCCTTTGTCAAGGGTCCATGTGGGG